GGGGACAGGCAGGACCCTGTATTGCACCGGGCACCCGAATTGCATGAGGGGTCCCCAGCCTGGGCTGCCTGGAGGGGTTACAGCAGCTCCTCGGTTTGCTCCCACAATGGGGTGCAGGTGCCAAGGCTTTCAGGCTCCTTCTATATGGACACCCCTCACTCGGGTGCTTTGGGACAGCTCCATCCGTCGCATGAAAACCCCTGAGTCTTGCATTTCTATTTCAAACCTAGGTATTGGGTTATTATAACAGAAGAGGAATCAATCCCGAAGCCTTTTTGAACGAGATAAAATTTATAGCGAGCGACCCGGACGACAAGCATTTCTTTAATGTCACGGATGAAGCAGCACTCAAAGACATTGTGGATGCACTGGGGGAAAGGATATTTAGCTTGGAAGGTGAGTGATGCTCCTCCCTGACACATCCCGGCCGGCCGGGCTGCAGCGGGTTGCTTCAGATGTGCTGTCGGTCCTCGGTTTGCTGAATTTGCACGGGTCACACTGGCGGTTTGCCTGGTATCTGTTTGATACAGAACCTGAAATCACACTTTGAATATCTTCATATATAAAGAAATGTCTTTATTTTGAGTGGTTTACCCCCCTCAAGCGTCAGGAGCACAGATGCCTTCGCCTCAGAAGGTGACCCCTCATTCTTGCAACCGTTATTTGCAGAGCTGTGATGGCTCTGGCATTTATCATGGGGGTCAGCTGGGTGTCAGCATCTTTCTCACCCATCAAATTCCATTCAAACCCAGACGGGTTCTAAGCAGACAAAAACCACACATCGACTGCCAGGGACTCCCTGGGGTGGCAGACATTGCGGGGTTATGGGAATAACGTGGGGGGTTATGGTTTATTGGCTGAAATTACATATCAGGAAATATTTTTGTTCTAACTGTGACAGCGCTTCTGTCCGCCTTGTGACAAGTTTGTCGGTCTCCAAAACTAAATTTATCTAAATTTCATAGGAAAAACGCATCCTGGGAGGAACAATTGAAACAGAAGATGGAGGGCTTTCACTGGAAATTAAACATCTCAGGGTTTGGGGGAATTTTGGTCAAACCAGCTCGTAAACTCCCCACCAGTTTGCCAGTTACCTTGGTCAAGCCAGCCCAACGCTTCTCAGTGGAAGAAAGCTTCCCTGGCTGAGAAGCTTCACCCAGTTGCAATTATGAAGCAAAATCCTCTAAATCCACATTTTTGTCTGATCTTGCAGCTAGATGAGACAGCCGCACTGTGGCAGAGCTCGCAGTGTCTATTAGCAGCACGAGTTTGTGTAATTGTGGTGATTTAGGGAGAAACAAGCACATTTATGGCAACTGAGGTCCTTTGTGCCCCAGGTGGGGTGGAGGTGGGCGCTCATCCCACGCCGACCCACCGAGGCACCGCTCACCCCCTCCAGGAAAGCAAAGCTCTCCATTAAATACAAATTCCCTTTTTATTTTTTTTTTTAAGGAACCAACAAGAATGAAATCTCCTTTGGCCTGGAAATGTCCCAGACTGGATTTTCATCGCATGTTGTGGAAGTAAGAGAGTAAACGTGGGGTTTTTTTCTCCTGCCTTTGCAAGCAGGCACCCTTTAAAGGTGCTTTTTACCATCACCAGCGGCTGCAGGTGGGGAGACGGGTATTTTGGGCAAGTTATTAATCATGAAGCTAAATTGCTAATATGGACATAAGGAAGAAAATGCTTTTGGTGCTCCCCTATCCCACGGGGGAGAGAGCTGCTGGGAGACCAGTGTCTTCCTCAGGACCAGCCTGCAGCAGCTCCTCCCGATGCCACGACCTCAAGGTGCTGGGACGTGCCATGGGGGAAGGCGCTTGCCGGAGGTGGGGTGCGGAGGATGGCCAGTCCCCTTCCACCCACGCGCTTTGTGGGCTGGCAGGTCGAGGCAAAAAGCCCGCAGGAATTTCTGCTCAGGCTTTTCCTGGGG